TATTTCACAACAAAACAAAAACAAACAGACATAGGCAGTCTTTGATGTACCATTTCACTGTATATATATATATATATATATATATATATATATATATATATATATACCAAAGGGAGTCAGGAGCGCACGCAAAAATTCCAAATGAGAAACGAAATCGGTTACCGCGCGTAACGCGTTTGCCGTGTCGGATAGCTATTATTGGACTGTATCATACGTGGGCTTCACCTCCAAGCTGAGGTTCAAGTTGAGTAGACGACTAAAGTAGCGCTATGCATGGAACAGCGATTGTCATTAACAACTTTCGCTGGCTGAGCTATATCGACTTCGTATACGAGTGTCTCATTTTGATTCGTCGACCATTTTCCCAATATGTTCGTATTTGTTTATCCTCCATAGCCCCCTAGCCGGCCCCCGTGCTCTAGGTCCGTTCTGTTAGAAAAGCTAGTTCTTTAAATGGTCTTGTCCGTTCGATCGGTCGACAGTGACCGCCACGCTGCTGTTACTCCATTGCGATGGCATTCGACTTGCAGTACAGGACGCCACCTCTCCAGTAAAGAGTGCTACTAAGCATTTCTTTGGCCATATCATACATTCAGTAGAGTGACTGTGCCGTGTATTCGGTGTGATGGGTGGTTTTGGTCAGATTCGTGTGTACTTGTTCCGGGGTCGTTTCGGTATCATTCAGTCAGCCTCCATCTGGCCGCCGTCGTAGCTACTGCTCAAAGCATCATTTCTTCGTGTTTGTTGGTGATAGCGGCGGCTACATTTGCCAAGAGACCAAAGCTGGTTTGTGGCTCAACGGCTTGGGTTGGTTCCCTGGTCGGTGGGAACACGTTGGCTCTGCTTCACTGGCCTATCAGTTTGCCTGTCTGCAACTTCTTGTCTCAACTCGTCATAGTCAATGATTGACAGGACGCGGGGTCTTGCGTGGACCATTCCATTGCTGCTGGATTGACGTTTTAGAGCTTCCCGGCCCCATTCCTCTTCGATACCTATTTTGTTGGCCTGCACAAACGCCAGTAGCCAGTCCGCTCCTTCCGTTCAATCCGTCGTCGCCCGTTCCGCTGTTGTTTCAGAGAGTTTGCGCCCTGCACAAATAGACAGATACACATACGCGCATCTCAGAAAAAGTTTCAGAAATCATCGGTGATAACGACAATGAGGACAGTGGCGATCCTCATACAACACTGGCACTAATGAGTGGGTCACAAGTGTCGTCTATCCCTGTTAGCTGGTGTCAAGGGGTCTGTTTCTGGCCATAACAGTTAACTGCGACTGCTTTTTGGTCGACAGAATCCAAATATCGCCAAATAATCGCTGCTTACGTTAATAAAATGTTGTACCCGCCAGATCCTATTGGATTATTTCACCCGAGGCGGTAGCCGGACTTTCTTTCATCTTATCTTTGTTAGCGCCGTCCAGCTCCCTCTGACGGTGGGTGCAAGAACGCATCCCTACGACATCCGGTAGATATTATCTATTTCGGATAAACCGCAATAGATTACTAGCCCATGCAGCTATTATGATGGTGCCAGTGAATACAGGCGTACTTCTGAGAGCCACCAGAATACGGGAAAAGTAGACGATGAGGAAAAATAAAATACACCCTATATTTTATAGCTTATACAACGACATCATACTTGAATAAATCTTCCTTGGATATTTTTATCACAACTATACTGACTGTTTTTGCTCGCTTCTTCTCTCTTTGGTAATGGCGAAGGATTCTTTACCACTATATTGCTTGTAGGTCTATTACTATAAACCAATTACAATGCACAGTTCAATGATTAAGTATGAGCGAGCTGAAGGCGGGCTAAAAGGGGGGTGCTATCTACAGAAAGATCAGGCTGTTGAACAAGTATCAGCCGTTTTTCTAGCTGGATAACTTTAAAGTCACATATCTCAAGTCATACAAGTCGCGTCGGGTCGCCATTGGTCTCATCGAAAAACTGAGGTATGGTAGTAGGCGATGGGCTAAACTCGTTGGAACGCCTTTATTCAGGCTTGAGATTGAGCAACTTGAAGATAAAGGGGATGTCTGTGAAAACTCGTTCGTTGTATTTTACAATTTTTACGATAAAGGACACAAATGCTACCCAAGCCCACAAAAATATGCTGTTTACGATCAAGATGCACTATGGTTGGTTTCGTTCTATAACTTTAGATGTGACAGATGCCTCTTGTAGTGGTTGGCCAATTACGAGAAAAGTTGACGACGTTACTGCGGAAGTTAAGTGACACCGGCTCGTAAATGGCCATGACATCTCCAAACAACTAAGCATTCATCATCTCAGTTCATACTGGTTCATCGAGGCTTGAAAAAAAAATGCTCGATGTCCAAGTCCCTCACCGAGCGGCGTAAAAGATCATAGTGCGAAATTCTATAAAAATGTGATGTAATCGGGTCATTTCTAAAAGCATTTAATTGCAGGTGATGAAAACTGGGTCACATGCGGCGATGAAAAAAAAAAGAACAAATATTCTCCATAGTGTGTGGCAAAGCTTAAACTGACGCCCAGAAAGATAATGCAGAAAGGCATAGTGCACTATGTGTCGCTGCCGTCTAGCAGAATGATTAATTCGAATCTCTAATGTCAACAACTAACAAAATTGCAAGAAACTCTTCCACCATGCCAGCGTCGGACCACATATATACCCGGCAAACCCATGGTGAGAAATCTGCTGCATCCGCCTGATAGTCCGGATCTTCCACTGCCGGACACCAGTCATCTACTAGGTCTCTGCGGATTTTTTTAATGAATGGATTTTAAATTTAGCTTCGGTGGAGGGATGCGAAAATCGTTTGTCACAACTTCTTGCCTGGAAACCACACAAGTTCTACAGTGACTGTACTATGGCGTTACCAGAAGAATGGCAAAAGGATCAAACGGCGCGTATTTCGTTGAGCACTATTATTTAGAAATATTTAATTGGCTTAATTTTAAGTTAAGAACGGTCAGTATGGCTCAATGTTATATTTGTAGACCTACAGCACTGGCGTGCACGAACGCTTTATGTAAATAAACGTGAAACGCTCTGTATAATTTATGTGAAATTAGACAACGAGAGCTATAATAGCTCACGGTCGAATATTGATCATCTGTTTATTTCCAACGTGTTTTCGGTGTTCCAATCATTAGCTAGGTACTCTAAGGTAGAGCTGTCTTCTCTACGATGCACGAAGTGATATAAACGACAGCCAACATGGACATAATGACGAATCGTGGAGAAGGTCACCAAGTGCCGTGACGGCGAACCGATCATTTCGCCTATGCATGAGACGGCAGTCGGGCCAGCAGCTAACTGACCTCAATCCAGATGATCGATGCCTCACTGAGAGCCATCACCTTCCACCATATTCATATTTAAGCAATATTGGCCCCTCGCGGATACTCGGTATTTCCTAGTGGTTTTTCCAGGTGGCCAACCCAACAACAGAGGAGCATGACAAAACAAGATAGGGAACGCCCCGGGAAGTGACACGATGTAGAGCAAGTCTCCTCGATATTGGGTCCTCGACCTTCAGCCAAATTTGGGTCAGTCATCTCAGTAAAATAGCAATGATAGTTGTTTGTATCCTGGCACTGCCAGTATCTGCCTAAAACACAACTAGAAAGTTATGTTACTTGTAATAATGTGATGATAGAGTGATCAAACTGGCTTAATCACGTTCATTCCAGCTTGTTGGGTTACCTGGGATAGAGCTGATTGTGTGGACGAGGGGGACTCTTGTAGCATCCCCACTCATCGCAAACTATGGGAGGACGTTGGCGTAGTAAATCACCATATTATAGCCAATGCTTCCGTGCCATGAAAATATCAGTACGTAATCTGTAACAATTTGCTATTACCGGCGCAATTCTTTCGCTTCGCGTACTTCATTAAGAACAGGAGCCACTGCGACGTACTAGATAAATACTGAACAATGATAATTTGTCGTTTGTTTAAAGATCTTTCGTTTTAATCATAACAGAGGTGATAATAAAGGTGCCGCATTAAGCAGCTGACAGTTGTCCTGCGAAATACGTACATTTTATCGACGTTTTTTCATCTAGTATTTTTTTTTATCCGGCTCTTCGTTTTGTCCGCCCGTAATAGGATGCACGGCCGGCAGTTTATGCGCGGCATGCTCCAAATAAATCAGGAGGAGACCGTTTTATACAAAACTTCCACTCAGTCGAAGCGTTATTTCATCGCCGATCTGCTTTTTCGTAGATCAAACGCTTCATCATCCCTGTGACCGTTCGTGCGTGTGCGTGCCCTTCTTTTTAGTAAAACGATAAAGTATATTGGTTACTTTTGTTCGCTACTACATTTTGTACATAAGAACAGTGACTCACGTAGTTTTCACCGTTGCATCTCGTCATGCCATATAATGGCCACCAGCATTTTGCTGCCTATCTGTTGTTGTTATTCAAAACCTTGTTGAAACTTAAATGACCGAGTGATCCATATTTAGACACAAACGCGTCGGAGTATACATATCATATGCGTATAGGCGTATTGGCTGCGCCAACTCACTGAGCTGAAGCCAAATGAACGTTCTAGATTAAGGACGCATAATGCAAGAACTGCTTCAGTGTCCTAATCTATAAAACAAAGAAAAAAAATCCTGTTCTACAGAGACATTTTTGCATGTAACTGTGCCATTTAAGAAAGTCGAAGACAATTTAAATTTGGCGCCGAAATATGTAAAGTCCATTATTTAACCGGACAAAAAGGTAGATACTTGTATTGTTTCACACATATTGCATTTGTAGGACCGTGTATTGGTATTTAGCGGAACTGGCAATCCAGCTGGGGATTCCTTACTTTTACAGCCAGGATACTGTCTAAAGTCAAAAACACGACGCTGATATGGATTTACACAAGGCGCATATTCATCAGCTGAATCAATTTGTAGGGTCGTTACGTGTTTTCTTGGGGCTGACTACAAATTAGCTGTGAAAAATTGAAGTCCGGGGTGGTTTTTGTCAAAGCATTGTTATCTATTCCAGAATCTCGACAAATGGAAGTCTGCCCGTCGTCAACGTGTACCAGAACGCCTCCTAAGCCGGGCCGAAGAAGCTAAACGCCTTATGGAAGAAGAAGAAGCCCGTCAGATTCGCAAAGTGAAAACTTTTTCCGAGATGATGCAGCAACGACAGAGTCGCCAGCAGGCTTCTCCTCACCTTGGGTATAACCTAAGTTTTTTCAGCCAGGAGCATATAGCGAACCATAATGAAAATAACGTCCAGTAAGTATTTAGTTTTTACTGCAATACTCCCGATGCTAATTAGCATACTAATTAATAATTGAAAGCTAAAGCACAATAATCCGACTAAGCACATAAGTAGTAGATGCCAACAAATATTAAATCTTACAATACGGTTTATAATGTTTTCATCGTATTTTTTATTTTATCGTCTCGTCATTTGTCCCCAAATGCTTCTGTCGTTTTAGCTTTGATGAGGAAAATAAAGAGAATGGTCTTGCGGCGGGTCATAAACGTCTAACAACGGCAGATTCTGTGGATAGCCAATCGGAGGATAAATCATCCGACGCCAACTCCGAAGAGCGCCTAGGTTCTGAAGGCTCTCAAGGCTCTGAAGAAAGGCTCGCGTCTCCGATAAACCCGTGGATAGCGGATTCGGGAGTCGATTCGCTTAGCGGAAGTGGAAGTGTAGTAAGTGCTGCCAATTATTCAGAAAGAGACCAAATGAGGCCTGCTGCATCTTCTGCGGCAACCAACGAGTTGGGCAGACAGTTGGTCACATCTGCAGTGCAGCCTCGGCCGCCGTCCGCGCTTCCCGGGTCAGCTTTACCCAAAGATGAAACCCCGTCAAATTCCAATGAGGTTATCATTCGCCTCTCCATTAACCCATCGTCTGACATCTTCGGCTTTTCACTCACTCAGGACGGCCAAAAGGTCATAGTCGAGTCCGTTGATGAAGGTTGGTGATTAGTGTAAATTATTATGAAAATTCTCAATTTGCACCAATTTTGTTCTTACATAGACGAATAGTAGCAAAGACATCTATAACTACTCTCTAGTAATTCCTTTTTTGATTGGCTTGGTTCCACTTAGATGGTGTGGCGGGCCTCGCAGGACTGAAACAGGGAGATGAAGTTATTTCACTTAATGGAGTTCTAGCCGACTCTCCAGGGAGTGTGCCGTCGTCAATGGATCTTGCCCTGATGACTGGGCAGCTCGAAATGGTCATTTACCGGGTCGATACGCAAGCAGAAGAAAGCCCCGAGCAAGTTGAGCGCAGAACAAACTTTAAAATGAAGCTGGCAAAATTCTGTTCGGGGCAAGTTGGACAGAATCAGATCGAGGATAACAGTGACAAGGTAATTGCAGCGGCTGTGGCAAACGAAGTTATCATCGAACCAAAACTCGTAGAGAGACGAAAATCGCAACTATTTATTCAGGCTTTACAGCTCGAGCAGGACGAAGAACGGGACAAGGAGCAGGAACCGACCAGACCGATCCCCGTCGACGTACCGGTCGAAGAACAGTTAGTACTTAAACGGAAGAACTCACTTTCTAAGTCACTTGCTGAAACCGCGATGGAGAAAAAGTCTCCTGTCGAAGAAATCGAGCCACAAATTATCGAACGCAAAAAAGCTGAGTTCATCCGTCAGGCGAGCTCCGATAATATGGTAAGAAAAATTGACGTCATGTCTGAAATCAGTGTCGAGCAACATCTTGTTTTGCAACGCAAAGCTTCGATTGAAAATGCTTCACAACGAACAGACGATATCAGAGTTGTAGAGTTGCCTTCAGTAGCGGTGGCACAACTCAAAGCGTCGATTGAAAACAGCGGTGGAAGTTTATCGGGTGAGTCTCAACCAAGCAAATCCAAGACGCCGTCTGTCGACATCGAAACCACATTGGAAGAGCGCAAAGCAAGCTTTTTCGAGCATTCGGGAACGCGCGTCGAACGAACGACCGTTGAGCTGAATATCGAACCGAAACTAATCGAACAACGGAAGGCCAACTTTCTTGGAAGTGCTGAAGCTGCGCAGAAGACCGAACGTAACCTTGACTTGGACATCCAACCCAAGTTGATCGAACAACGAAAGGCAAATTTTCTTGAGAACGCAACCAAAAGAGGGAAAACGGTGCAGCAGATTGACATTGAACCGAAGACTGTTGAAAGAAAGCTGATGGCACTGCAGATTAACTCCGATATGGCTCCGGCGCAGTTCTTGTCAGACCAGCGCAAAGTTGAGTTAACCTTAAATAGTATGCAGTCGAAACCCAAAATCGAGGTAGCCATTGAGCCTGACCTAATTCGCAAACGCAAGGAAGCTCTCTTCTGTTCGTCCTCGACGACGAACGATATTGAGAGACGACGCGCTAAGTTGGCTAACATCGAAGCCGAAGTCTATGGAACTCCGATGCAAGAGGGGAAGCCTACATGTGCACCCCCCGTAAACACTATTCTTGTACCGGCAGGGGACAAAAAGCGTTCCGACGAGGAACACGTTCTGTTGGATATTAGACTGGGCTCCGAGGTCTATCCTGTTCAATCGCCAACCGACCATTCGGAGAGTACGATTAGTGAAGAATCCCGAAGCGCCAGCTCAACAACAACGACAATAACAGAGATACAGCGAGAAGTGGGCAACGCCATGCTATCTTCAGTGGCTTCAAGCTCCCTGTTTTCGCCCGTCTCTGAGCGCAACGAGTCGCCGGCACACTTATCTGACCTTTCGCCCGATAGCGAAAGCGCGCCTGTTTCTAGACCCAACAAAACGAACAGATCGGTACATATTGAGGTAGACTCATCTCCGGATAGTAAACTCATCGACTTTAATGATACTGGCTCGCTTGGAACATCAACCAAATCTTCACCAAAAACAGATCAGGGGAACATGGTTGCTCGGTCACCAGAACATGGGTTAGCTAACCCGCCTGCAGATACGGTCAGTCCCCCTAATCCTGATCCATTGCATCGAATTAAGGCCGCCGGTCAGACACTATGGAACAAGGAAAAAGAAAAAGCCCGTGTTGCATTGCATACTGATGACGCCATTGCCAGAGACGGGGATTCCCAAATTGTTCAAATTAAACATGATGCAGTCATCTCAGGACAGTATCCCCAGCATAATGCAGACGGCTGGAAAGAGTCAGGAGTCAGCTACACAATGCCGGTACGTATTTTTCTCCTTATTATTCACATTCACACTATATTTGAATTAGTTAGCAATCTAAGCAAAGAATAAGGAAATGTGTAATAAAAAATCTAGTTGGGACACGGCACAGCCACGATGTCCTATTCCTCTTCATATCATAGCAACTGTACCGCAGGAATATATGTATATGTTGTTGTTGTCTACATAGGCGCAGGGTTCTGATTCTGCGGTACGACGTGATATAGAAAGAGATAACACGACCCATCAAACACCGATTCAGCACTTCAGCTCTCGCCAGCAACTGCAGGTCGAAGCAGAAGTTCAGGTGAAGAGTTCGCCTATGCAGGAACCTTATGAAAACGTCGAAATGATTGCTTCCGGTTCTGGTGAACAACTTTACCAGGTGTCTACAAGCAGTGCTGGTAATTTCGATGTGTACAACCAGTTGCCATCTCAACCCCCAAAGGGCATCAAGAAGGGACCCGCGCCTGCGCCTCCTACAAATATGACGCCTTACAACCCCACAGAAGAACTGTACGAAAATGCGCCTCAGCTGAACCGCGCTCAGCACATGTACCGCGGTCCATATTATCAGCAGACGGCTGCCGGAATGTCTGCCAGTGCAAGACAGATGGTACAAATGGCCACGACTGTCACGACAAGCCAGGCTAATTTGCCGAATACCCAGGCTAGTTTGCAGGGTAGCCAGGCGCGATTTGGCCTAGCCCCTATAGATCAGGAGCAGATGTATGGGGATTTGCGACGACCAGCAGTGCACGAAAGCCCGGGTTACAATGACATGTCAATGATCAGGCGTCGCGAGAATCCCATACTTCGGCAGGAAAGGAAAAGTTACCACGAGGGTACGGTCAATTACCCAGGTTATGACTACATGCAGCATTTGCAGCAGCAAAAGCAGTCGACCCCCTCCTCAGGGTATCCATGCACTGAAGACATCTATGAAAACACGCGCAAATACGCAAAATCCTGCGAGGATATTTACGCAAATAGCAATCAACTAGCCAGAACAGGTGCAACGACAAATTCACATCTCCTGGGGGGAAAGACAGGTGGCGAGTTACCACTGTCCGGTGCTAACGCCAGCGGCTATGGCCAGGAGATTTACGAAAATGTCGAAACCTATGCCAAGACGAGAGATTATCTGAACAATCTACGAAAGCCCTCCGTGGCGGAAGACTTTTATGAAGCACCAAGAGTGGCACACGAACAAGGAAGAATTCTATCGGCTTCTGTTAACAAACCAACTCTCGACGCCATACAAAGGTATGTATATATGTATAGTCAACAGTATCTGCTTTTTGTATCGTACGCACACACTGGCCTGCTGAATAAGCGAGGCTATGAAGGCAGATATGAAATCTCACTGTTAGACGAACATTTCCAAGCGAGTCTTTATAGAAATGTTTTTGAACATTATCAGTCAACTTCCAATGTTTTTTTAGCTGGGGACGCCCATATCGAGTAACAGTATAACTGGCCCGATGGAATCAACAAGTTATACAACACTTTGTAATTTCTTGCATATATTCATCGCTGTTTTGATCGAAACCGCAACTTACGCAAGTTTGCGAGTAAAGCCCAAGCTTAACACAGTTTGAAATGGAAGACTGCATATCAAACGATGGACTACATAGCCATTGTGGCCAGTATGGGGAAGGCTGGTTATTTACAGGCATCTCTATAGATAAGCAAGTACAAAAATTGCGTACGCGTAGCAATATTAGAACAGTGAATAATATATTTCCGCATTTGTCTTTAGTATTCCTAGCATCGCCATGCATTGACGGAATAAGCTGGCCATGATTTGCAAAGTTGAAGCTTGAAAAATACTCTTTGGAGATTCCAAAAAGAAAGCGGAATGTGTTTCGGTAGATAGGCAGATTTTTGTAAGGCGTGAAACTGTTTGATAAAGCGTGTGTCAGGTAACGACGAAATACGTAAATCTATTTACAGGAAAACTTAAAAAAACAATTATTCTTTAAGGAAGCAATCATACGAGTAAAAGTTACCACTGACTAGTAGGTCAAAGGGTACTTGTTCTATTACTACGGGTTGAAGAGGGTTCGTGTTGCCGCTTAGTCGACTAACAGCGTAATGAAGGAAAGAACATAAGTCCCTCAAATCAATTTTGTTTCAATGAAAAATTTGCCTATTTGACAAGCAAACTGGATCAAATGGTATTGCAGGTCACGCAGTCAACCGTATATAGGAGGCGTAGGGCCCACGGCAGAGCCGAAGCTCATAGTGCAACGGAAAAGTGCGGACAATCTTCCGGACGAACCACGTCAGCTTACTGCTGAGCTCGGTGCGAAAAAAAAACCTCAACAGGATAGCAAGTGTGTATAAACTGCATGAAGAAACGTCAACTTCATAAGTGCTCTTCTTTATCTATTGCGCATACCTGTCTATAATATAACAAGTTGTCTTACATAAATAGTAAATAGTCCTTAATCCGATTCCGCTGCAGGTCCTTCAACGCTAACCACTGGCTAATTCAGGAGGCGGAGCTGCGGCGACAACTAGAAGCCCAAAATCTTGGCTACGCAGGCCAGAGTTCTTCTCAGCTAACGGGATCGTTGCCCGTGTGCTATGCAGGTCACGTTCCTGCAACAAGTGGTAGTGTCTCACATGTCTCCAATCACACAAACCAGTTACAAGTTACTTCGGCTTCAACGCCGGTGTTAATGTCAAGCGTGCCTATCAGTGGTCGTGCCGGCGTTGGTAATATGCCCCCGTTATCGGAGGAGCTTGGATCTGCTTCCACGATGCCTGCACTGTCCGGTCCCCAGAGAAAAGCCGTCGCCCCACAGAACGGGCACTCGGTGGCAAACATGGTAACGCCAGCATCAAACGATCCTGTTTCAGAGCTTGGGATTTCTGGCAAGTGAGTAGAGACGTTGAAAACTACCTCTAAACGCTGTAAACTGAACAGATCATTTTGGAATTCGTTTCGTGTTCCATCTTGCGAACGTTCATTACATAACGCTTAAATAAATAAGTCGCGTTTTCCATAATACGGAATCTGTTTCTATCGGTCGCTGTTCGTATTGTCGATATAATACAGGATAATTACTTGCTACGATAAGCGTTAAAAATTCATTCTATCGATCAGCTACGAGCGCTGACTAAGGAACGTTTTCCCTAAGGTAGTATTGAATCTGTTTTAGGAAGAGATGCTCACTCTGCTCGCAGGAACTTGGCCGTGGAGCAGCAATGGTTATTGAATCCCTACAGCTTCATTTTCACCTAGCTTGTTTCCGCTGCTGCGTGTGTCGCCAGCGTCTAGGAAATGGGACCTGCGGAACGGACGTGCGGGTACGCAACTCGAAACTGCACTGCCATAACTGCAATTCGTACGATGAAGGTACTGTGATAAAATGCAAACTTGATCAGAGCGTTCATCGGACAAATATATAACACACTTAGAATCATAATACCTGGAAAGCTCGAAACGTCCTTAACCCGTCTCAGTCCTTAGCAATAGCCACAACGGCAGAGTGACACCGTCCAAGCTGACTGGTAACGTGTTCCCTGACAATGTTTTTCAGCTGGCTTGAAATATAGCCGAGTGTAATCGACATCAACAGGATGATCGAAGCCTTCGGTACAATGTCTTCACAACGAAGAAAACCATTCTAAGCAGGTCGGCAGCACAAGTAAATAACACAGCCATCGACAACATATATCTATGGAAAAGGATATGTATGCCCACCTGTTAGCTACGGGAGGCTTGTCAATTGTACAGCGGCTGCGCCTAGCAAGTGATGAAGAATGCTAATTGTGAAAGACAGTGCCTTGAAAACACGGCTCGTTATCGTTTACCTTCTTTCTCCGTATCGCAGGCCGGCGACATGATATAGGCTCGAGTCTCGCCCGCTCTGATTGAGGTTGACAGATTGTCGACTAACGACTCTAACCAATCGACACTTCAGCATTTAACATAAATACTTTACCATGTTTGTATAAAATACGTTTAGAACATATTACAGATTTTAAAATAAAATCACTGTATAAAACGCTACACAAAAATTATTTTCGGGTACGCGTTTTCATTTATAGTTTTATAAAAACACGTATTGGGCTGGCTAGTACAGCATAGATTGATAGCTGTTTTTCATGGGACGCAAATCTCCATTGGACTGCAGGTTTACTGATTCGAGACAATGGAATGAAACATTGTAATCTTTTCTATACGTACGTAGCTTGTGTCAAGGTTAGGGGCAAGGACGCCACTGACATGGCGCTTTAAACATGATCTGTTGAACGGAATATTCAACAAAGACCGAACTCAAAAATTGATTCTATTATTATGATCAGGATCCGATACAGCCTTATTATAACAGACAGCGCAAATTCAATACTTTTTCGAGGATATTTTCAGCGAGGATATTTCAGAAATTTTCAATTGCATCATTTTCACTTGGACCATTGACCTGTTGAATTAATTCTTCTGATTTTTGCATTGAAATGGCCTTGAATACTTTTAGGACAGCTTTTATCATCTACGAAGCGAAATGAGCTCTGCTGAATCTATATCCGCAGAGTACGATAAGCTCTCTCTGACTGGATTCTATAATACACTCGTTTGTTGTTCTCGTCGTCCATCTTTGTACCGATACAGACAAAAAGTATCGTTTTCTGCTTCAAACTACGAAAGTAAAGACACCAGAAAATAAATAGTTCATTCGAACGAAACAAAAGTGTACCACGAGCATCTATTAGTACCACATGATTTAACTATCCGGTTCGTTATGGAAACGCAAATTTCGATCAAAAGAAGAGAAACTGACATCGATAAGTTCTACTTGTGTTGTAAGTACGGTTAAAGTAACGTATCTATTTACATTTATAACAAATACAATTGACATAACTCATTTTTTTGCCGTATGATTCTTCAGTATAGTTGAGTAGAGTACAGAGTACATACTATACCAACAGCTCATTAACCCACAGACAATACAAGGCCCAATACTAGGCAGGTAATGGGTACGTGCACTCGTACGCTTTCAACAATGGCACAGTTCATGTGATAGGTAATCAGCTGTCCGAAGCGGGCAGTACATCTCGCTATCAACTGATGTCTTCCTTCAACCGATGAGCACCGGACATAGTAATATAGACAGTCCTATAAAAGTCGGAGAGTAACGAATAGCTCCCAAAGCTGAACAGGGCGTTGATATGAATATATTATGCTCCGCACTGTTGTCGCACGTCACGATGAAAATATTGTACGCCATCTCGGCCTGCGGTGGCCGATTGCAGCGGATGAAAATCTACAAAAAAATATATTTGATTAGACTTTTTTTTTAGGTGGTCGATTATTTGCAGACACTTGCTATAGACCTCACGTATAAAACCTGAAATCCTGAAAATTAAGCGCTCTGTACTACTAAGGGTTGACCATCCTATGAAAATCTAACAAAAGTACGGCATCCATTCTCTCCTACCTGACGTACTTTTTTCAATGTATATTCTTGCATAGAAAAGCATTTATGTTGAACAACATATATTCTTGGCATATATTCTCCTAATTATGTGTACGCTCTTCGTTTTTTTTAACACTTTCGATGAAAGCTGCTTTTCAACTACGCCTTAAAGTTCTATCAGTCGAAGAGTGTACGAAACCGTGCGTTTACCGGCCGATTTCTTAGGGTTAAGCCTTTCTGGGTGACTGAGTGGATAGAGAAGTTCACCGAGGTCGACCTGCATACAAAGATAAAGAGCTGCATGTCTGCGAGTAAAACATGGTATACGCATCATATTGTCATTTACTCCGTTATTTATTTCTGTTAGGAGTCTTGCAGTCAGAGTTTGACCGGCAACGTTTAATATGTGAACAATAAAAAGCGTGCGTCTCATACACTATCGAACTCCTTTCGAACGAATCTCTTTTAATACTCCTTCTTAGACAGAGGAGGTAACATAAAACAGGTAGCCCAGAGAGGCCTGTTGCAATAAAATAAACACCAGTCTCGAAGAATAATTTATACCCGAGGGTCGCGTGATGGCTTGTAATGCTTCCACTAAACTCCTAACAGTTAGGGTATTCGATTACCTGAAAAGCCTAACTGGAATAACATTGTCGTTGTTAATGAGTAGATGTTGTTCAATACACATAGGGAAATTCTTCTGATCTTTAGGTGGCTTCACACGACCAACAATTGGAAAAGTGGATATGAACACGGCTTTTTCCAGGAACGACAGGGGCATTTCTCGTCTGTTTTCGGTATCGCTATCAGACTTAAAGCTGTGGTCCACGAAATACAGGTTGACCTAAGGGGTTAGCAGATGGAACCTTGGTTAGGTGTCGCATCTAAAACACAATTACACTCGCCTAAAGCACCTATGCAAATAAAATCTGTTAAGATGAACCTTTGAACTTTGTCGTGAACATCAGCAGAAATTACCTAACAAAATTTTCTCAGAAACTTCAAGAGAAAATCCCAAGAGGAAACAATGCTAACGGAATTAAGGCTGATTACTTAATAAACGCACAGAACTAAGTAGCATAGAAACGTGCTTACAAGTCTGAAGTGCGGTCGTTAGAACACTCTGCTTTAATCTAAAAATACTGATTTCTACCACCTCTGATGAAGAACATTATGATAATACTTTGTTGTTGTGGTAACGAACCATCCGGTCTGTTTTGCCAACAGCCTGATAGTATTAATGAATGGAACGGGTTGAAGTAGTGTCATCCAAAGCCCTTTTCCATATTCGTTGGTATCAACGCTTGCGTCAAGGCGTTACCACTATTAAATTGCTTTAGTAGCTTATCCCACCGGTCAGCTTCAGTTATGAAATTGAATTGGGGCTGGCCCCGAGCAAATCAACAACCGTTCCTAGCTTCTAGTTAATTGGAATTAGCGTACATTTGAACGCAGTGCTATAGCGTATGTCTTAAAGATATTGATGCTGATTTTGTCTACTTGTCGAATGTGGCGCTGTTGTCGTTGTTATTGCTAGCGTTATCGCCTCTGATGTTATATGAGCGAATGTCACTATGGCCACGGCTGTTATGGCCGTCAATGCAAAAATTGGTCAGCCCAGTAAGTGGTCGCCTAATTTTAACTGCTTCTGTTGCGCCACTTTGGCTCGATGTTGACGCTACGAATTTGACACGATAAAATTGGACCGACGTTTGGTCATCGAATACCGCAGTCTCATATATGCCGTAGGCCTGCCGCTATGACCTTTCTTCGCGTACTGAAAATATTTCTTTAGGCTGATTTTTACCAGTGGAACGTTTATTGACCTTCGTTAGAGCCGCAATGACGTCAATAAGCGAACTTGTTGCGCTTTATGCGTGCGTGTGCAGCTCACTCATCGGATATTTAATAGATACCTAGTATATCTATATATATATCTATGGCGCACTCGCACAAACGTTAAATCAATTTCCTATCTATTATTTCGTGAAGGAATTTACATTGAGTTAGACGAAACGTTTATCAGTGATCTATTATATCTCATTTAGCAACTTCTTGATGTGCTTGTATTTTTCCAAAGTATGATCCGCGTGCTTTGGTTTTTTCGGGTCGTGCACGCAGCTTCAGGCAATTCCAAAAATTATTTTTTTCCATTTTTTTTTAAGTGCTCCTGTTCGAGGGCCTATGGTTAGAAGAGTGCTTTATTAGCGTACCACTTTTAGACCCCATTATTTTTGGTCGCCGACTAATAAACTCGCCGCTGCTAATGAGGCAGCACTGCTTCCTTTTCTGTTAACCGAAACAGTTTTACCGAATGATGCCTAAATATAACAGAACCCTTAAAATTTCGGAAGGACGATTATATTTCGTGGTTTATAAAAATGCCAAGGAGTCGGTTACGTATAGCCGTAACGAAATGGGTGAATGGAAAAAAGAAGGCTTTATTCGTTTCAGCCTTATAAACGACGTGTTTTTTTATAGAAACACCGGATTCATTCGGGAGCATTTGCTCGGTTGACTGTGATCTGGCTATTTGCTTTTGAAGACTTTATTGGTTGGCAAGGCCCAGGCTGCGTATTACCAGATAAAGAGGCTGTTATACGGTGAACACTGAACACCCGTAAGCCATACGTATGCCTTGTGTGCCTGTTGACACCCCTGAGGATTCGAAGGCTATTTCCTGAACTAAACCCCTTACTCTACGCCCAGGTATGGCTTCATTCATTTCTCTGGCATCGCTCGATACTATCTATTGTTCAAATTTTTCGAAATTAATTACATTCGCCGAAAAGCTGGTAATAAGAAGGCCACCAGATTAATAGTGTTAAAGCTGTGAGAATACTCGTTAGAATTTATAGCTTGGTTTGTGTTGTGTTAATTTATACACACATACAATGTTAAGGTACTGTATTTGAGCAGTATTCGGATTGGTCATTGTGTGTATACGCTGTGAAGAAAATCGTTAAACGTACAAAGTATGGTAACAAATAGCTTTTGTCTACTGAACAGACAGTTAAGCCCCATGGTATCCCTCACACAAATGCAAACACCAATAAAACCACCAAAATCTGCAGCGGAAACCAACGTTGACTAATATAATCAAAAGTGGTTCTCCATACAAGCGACTGGATAAAACGATCGAAAGCTATCTTGGTATGATATGTGGGATGGGACTGAGACTACCTACTCCCTATCCCAGACAATGAGCAAAGCTAAATAACCTGCACAAGACATCCGGTTAAAAATAAACTCGTGAAGCATGTTTTAATTCTCCTGGAATAAAGTATTCAGTTTAATTTCTTCTATTGCTCTTTAGGCCATAAAAGGTTAACTGCACCCTTCGCGATATATATGAACGTATGCGTAAGGTTGACTAAAAAAATCAAATTGGTCTAGAGCCATGCTATTGCAAAAACATTGACATGTAAAAGCTAGCATAAATAGACCTACGGTGAAATGTGTGCACCAGTTTGTGCCTACTGAACTGCATAGAACTTCCTGATCAAGTAAATATAAACTCCCCTAACTATGATATAAATAAATGATAATGTCAGATGATTGACAATGATCCAGGAATGCAGGAAATTCAACGAAGAAGACAATAATATTGTATCAAACTACCCTCTTCAGTTCTTCAACTGCTGTAGCAGGCAGTAACTTTTAGTAAACTTGAAGCAGTGTAAACGTAATCAAAATTAGCAGCCAGGAAAAGTAAGTTATCAACTACTGTAGTAATATTTTGATCGGAGTAATATAGAATAGGTTAAGCTCATATCATTATTACGATTTAATCATATTGTCACTAGTGCGAACTTAAATCGTCTATTACCGAAGAATTTTCGAGTCAGTCGCACTATCTGATGAGCTACGAACGACTAATGGCAAATGCAAAAAGAAAAAGGCCACTTTTTGAATGGGGTGTACACTCAATAGAATCTTGTTTTAGTTCCAAAGAAAAGTTTAACAATCAAAAGCGTACATATATTGTTTTGTAGCATATAACAATATGTTTGAGTCGATATGGCAAAACATTTAGGCGGCCAATAGCATGGTTAAGGTTCCCATAACAACGAAATATTCAAAATATATCCTCATGGCGAGTTTTTAAGTTAAACTCGCCATGAGGATATACTTTTTAAGTTAAAGTAATAATTATTGTTACTTAGCTCTAGAGAAGTAGCAGTCATAATGAAGTGCAGGGTTGTTTATTTGGCGCCGTGCGTCGTATGTTTATGTTCTAGCTTGTCGTGTTGTTTAAATTAGACAGCGTCATTAAATGATCAACAATTATCTAAGGACATATTGCAGCTGAAGGTTTCGGATATAAAACTAGTTGAAACTGCTGATGACAGATCAGATCCTGATTTTGGTCCATCTCCGGATTCACTTCGTCTGCTAACAAACAAACTTACATACTAATGTAGGTACAGTCGGGCAATGACCGTCAACGCCAATACACTAACGTATGTCTATAACAGGAGTACACACACAGACAAGCAGGCCACATTGCTAACAAAAATGGCAAATTAGCCCATTCTCTTCACGTTAATCACGTTTCCAGGAAAACGTATCTTAAACAAGATTAGACTGTGTTATTTCGAAAAACTGGGTTTTACCCCTGCTTGCTATAAACAGAACCATACGATCATTATACAGACAGGTTGGGATACGTAATACTAATCGTTATTGTGGTTGTCTATTATCATCCTCCGGATCAGTTATGCACAGTACGCGGCCCAAGTAACGCTTCTCCAAGGTTTTATATGGTATACAGCTCCATGGAAGTGCAATAGATATGCTTAGCCTTCTTTACGTTCACAATGTTCCCTTAGAAGCACGGGTATCTTAAACATTTAATGTAGCTTCGATGGAAAGCCCTATTACAAGATGAAACATAGCCAAAAAATACTTGTTCTCTATTCTATCTAACAACATCGACATAAAAAAAGTGACAAACTTTGAAAATGTTTGGTGACAATAGTAATTTTCATTTATTTTTCACTAATCTTTATTTTTTTATATTTATTAACACCAGTTCTATAGCTCTATAACACTGTAGCACTCTATTTGGCGAACAGAGGTCTACGAGGGCTTTAGTTATCAACAACATCGACATTGTTCCTGAATTGTCCGAGTAATTCGATTTAAATAAAAAAAAATGCAATGATCAGCGAAAGTAACTATTTACCATGAAGATATGCATTTTTTTTTATATTTTTGTAAAGCGTAGTTAGTTCATTAGGTATAAAAAAAAATATTTCGAAATAACTTTTTCATACACTAAATACATTGTCATATCGATTGACAGACTAGTCTCATAACTCGTCTATCGATTTCTGTGATTGTAAGTTAATCTGGTAGTGTCGCTAACGGGACCACGACGTGACGTATCGAAGCTTAGCTGTCTTCATATGATTACTTCAATCCAACAAATGACGCTTGGTAATAATGAATAGAGCTCTTCAGGTATCAGTGGTATCCCTTATTATTACTGAAAAGTTATTGTGATAGATCTGTGTTACTTTAGTACGATGTTTTGAGGAAATTAGTTACAGAGCCTGCTGACAAGAGGGCAATCACGAACATAATAACGAATAATAATTGCCTTCTCTCGATATTTGGTGATAATATTATAAAAATTATTGTTATAAATTCGTTTTGCCATAGGCCAGCGGCTATCAGAAACGAGATCAATAAAGTTTTATAACATTGAGTACATGTACGTACACAAAGTTATAAAAATATAAGAGTATAGGCACATGTGCTTATGTGCCAATACTCTTCCCTTTATCCCTTTACTTCGTCCTCTGCAAGGTGTGTCCATAGTTTAGCGAATCCTTCAGATCTAAGAAGAAAGCTACCTTCAATAAGATCAGGCTTTTAGGCAATCAAGCAACAACTTTAGCCAGTATTGTATTCATAATTTTTTAATTGTATCTATCTAATAAATACACGCCAACATCGATTTTCTTCGCCCTACCTATTATTGGCCTCTGAAACCAATGAGAAACGGTTCCAGCAGAAATGTTCATGGATCACATCTCTAATCGAAAATTGCTTGTAAAGCCTTAGAAAACGACTTGCTAGTGCTGAGTAGCGCTGTCCGGTCTAGTACTACTTATATAACTAGCGCAAAGCTCTCTTATGTTTTTAATCAACATTTTCATATAGCTACGGGTCTTCTTCGACGTGAATGCGCCTTCGTACGCACTCAGTAGCGGCACAACAGCTTCAATTGGAACAAGCGTAATCTTTTCGCCTGGATTGAGGAGAGGGCATTTAACTTCGGCGAGTTGATGATACAGTTTTTTGCTGGCATCCCCCTGAACCTCGCGAGTTTTCAATACTTTCAAAAAAGCAGCTGTTTCAAGAGCTGTTAGTAGTGTATCCTGCTGAAGATTGAATATGTCCGAGAGACATGCCGTTGGCACGAGAATTTGGCGTTTCTTGTAGTCCCGAGCCACAATGTAAAAATTGTTCATAGTGCACAGCATTTGGACCTGCAATCGGGAATCAATAAAAATCAAATTTCAGTCTAGTCAAACCAACATACGTTTGTCGTTTTACTTATAAAAGCCAATAAAAACAAATAAGAACTATCTACATGTAAGCCTATACAATCAAGCCTGCATTTTCTCGACATGATCATGCTGTGTCATATAGTGATAACACTAGCACTGGTGATGACGAGCAGCTAAATATTAGCTCCTTTAGGTATGGATGCGATAGGTTCAGATTATTTGCCGTAAAAGGATCGCTGATAAAGTATGTTCTGAATTGAATTTGGAACTATTTGGAATTTGGAAGATTACTCCACTACGGTTCGTCACCATTTCATTTATGCGTTAAAACACCCGACCTCTCAAAGCGATGACTTCCAGATATCCTGCAACATTGTACTGTCGTTCTTTTCCGCTAACCTATCAAATATACTTGATTCGTTAAGTTCATGCAAATAAGGAGTGGCACGACATCTATGGTGGAAATCATACATCAGGATCTCGTCCGTAGGTGATAGTTACTCCGATTTATTGCCAGCTACTACAATGCAAACATTTGTGTAATCCATTTTATTCTATCATTTATGCTTTACGCAAAGCTCCTATACCTAAAAATGCTTGTTCATTAAAAACTAGGGGTTTTAAGTTGCTTGCACTAGCCGAATAAATGACTCAGGATACAATAGTTCCCCAAGGCGTATCACTGATAAAAAAAATTAATAGAATTGTTACTAAATTTAAAGCTGAGTTCCGCAAATACACCGCGATTAATATAACTAAGTATGTAAATAGAGAAATCAATAGGAAGAAAGTGGCAATGCCTTTGAAATATTTTTCTAGGCCTATTTTAAAAATAATTTTATGCTTACCTTGATCAGAGAATAAGATTCCCTATCATCGTCACCTTTAAATTCAGAGTTTGAAGTTTTGATGCCATGCCGTGTTGGATCCACTTCGATCAAGCCATCGTTAATGAGTGGCTTTACTAGATCTTCTAGATCCGCGAAATGGTATGGCTTACAGTGACTGAAATAATGTCATCGCACAATAGGCAGCATTCAGTTTAATAAGTACCTTCAATCTGAAAGTTTATACACCCAAAGAGTCGCACTGAAACTTAACGGCTCATCGCGAACATCTATAAAATGTCTATATGTAATTTTTGAAGTACATTTTAAAAATTATATTTTTATTATTACCATCAGAGAATTGCGTCTTTTCCTCATGTTCACGTATACATGGTTCCGTTAAAATATTATATAAGCCATTGTCAAATGTTTCCGAGTTTTTTGAAATGCAACCATTAATCCTATCACTAATCGGCATTTATCGTTTCCATAGAGATTTTCGAATAGCAATTTACAAGATATTATTCCCCACATGAACCTTAAATAAAGTATTTTATCAGCGGCGTAATACGGTAAATTTGTTTCATTCTAACAGATGTTCTTAGCTACATAAGAATAGTGCTTGTGTTTAAGACAAAAATTCAGATAGGGTCTCTTGTGTAGCGGAATAAAGGAAATATTGTATATTATAAATATTGAGACAGCTTGGATAGGAATTTTCCCCTTTATCAGTGTAACCTCTCCCCCTTGTTGGCCCTAAAGCTTACATTTCCGTTTCAATCAACGCGATCAGAAAATAGGGTAAAAAACAAAGTGGTCCAGAAAGCGGATCAAGATACACAACTTTTAGTACATAAAAAGGAAAAACCATGGCAAGTATTACTAATTATTAAAATATTTCTAAATTGATACATGTTATTGCTAAACTAGACGGCAAAAAATCGCCAAAAAACCATGGGGTCAAACGGATGCAACCCAATACTATTCTACACGTAAATTGATGAATAGGAACGATAAAAAAAAAACAGCGTTTCTTAATTAATATTACATAGGAGTTTACTAAATTAGTGTACTTTTTTTTTACCTAAGAATCTTTATGCTCGCAATATCGCCGTCGCTTATACACAAACGCTGCACGATGTGGTACTTGAATTCCAGCTGATTTCTAATCGGTTTGACAAAAGCCACGATTGCAGGATGTGAATAGACATTTTCTCTAAGATATTCTGGCGGAATTTTCCTTATCTCTTCAATACGCGTTGTTGCGGTCACGCCGCTGTCGACAAAATACAATGTAGCCTATAATAAAGAATCGACAAAGAGAAACTCTTATTTTCGATGTGTACCATATTGATAACATTCAGTTGGGTTACATCAGAACTGACAGTATGGGTACGAAAATGGGCAGAATAATCTAAGTAAGAAGAATAATCTAAGTAAGTCCGTTAATACCCAATCCGTATCCCCTGATGTTTGACAAAATCAAACAGTCTTTACTATATTGTTCGAGGGATAAACGATCAGTGGCTGATGCCAGATAGTAAACAAGTATAACTATTATCAATCGATTGAAATATTATTGCGATAAAGTTATGCTCTTGACAAACCTGACTATTTTCTACGTCGATAACGACAGCTCGATTATATTGCGACGTCTCGGACGTTGTATCGTCAAGCGCTAAACACGGCATACCTCTATACACATGAGAAGGGGCCTTGAAACAGGATTCGGAGTTTATTCGCGTTAAGAGCTCGTTCCGTAGGTTGATTTCGTCCGTCGTAGTGAAATGAAATTTCAGCTCACGGCCACCCGCAAAAGGACCCACCATAGCATCGACTTGGTTACCACTAGGGATGAGTTCATGTTTGAAAGCCGTACTGTAAGGTATATTTGCGAGGTACGTATATTCTGAACCAAGTGTAGGGGAATCATTGCTAACGGTACAAGCCGTCGTAAAAGTACACGTTGCAGTTGTACGCTGATCATCGTTCGCTTCGAGTTTTGGCTGCGAATCCTTTATCCGAAGCTTTCCCGTCGGTGTAATCTCGACAGGATTTTGCAAGTTCGCATTCAGTGTAATAAACTCCATTATTTTTTCATCTGTCCTATGGCGCTGCCTCAAAAACATAATTGGCGGATAGCCATTTTGTTGCTGTAACGATTCGAAGTATTTCTGCAGAGTTACCTCGCTGCCCGCAAGCTGTTTGTTCAGTTTCGACAACATATGAATCACGTCCGTTGCCGCGGGCAGTTTCTGCCTAGGCTCTCCAAATATGTCCAACTCAACCGAGTCTCGTGTAGAAGCTTTGAGTACTGGTCTGAGCTCTCTGGAAAAAACAGGAAACATAACTGGTACATGCAATAATGCGCCATACCTTTGGCACATAATGTCAAAGACAGATGGGAGTCCCCTGAAGAAATCCCAATCATCCAGATTACTAAGTTGAGGTGGTTTTTCACAGCCTATTTCGTATTCGGTCAATTCATCAAGGTACTGCATGAGGTCGTCCGGTTTTACGTCTGTCGTAAAGAATTTCTCCATCCTTGCTCGGAGCATCACTTAAAATTGGACGAATAGTGCTTATTGCACTACTCGCGTAGCTCCTTTTCAGTGTCGAGTTTCTTTAAAGACAAAAAACAGAACAGCACGGGATATATGGATATCAGGATAAAGATGGAAGAGATGGAGCAATTCCTAGATATAACCGCAGTATTCCTCATGCAAAATCCCTGACTATGTGCTGGTAGACAATTTTGACAGACTAAAATAAGCTAAAATCAAACGTTTTTGCTTACTGATTTTTCCACTTCATCCAAATTTGGTTAGATGAATGTAGATATCGCATAAGACAACATTAGCAAAGGGAAATCTAGATCTCCTCGAACCAATACTATGGTCAACTATATCTGGATTATTTATATGGCTATCAGAGAGCCAAATCCGCAAATAAAAATTCAACCAAACAATTACTGCAAACAGAAAGCCCTGATGTGGTGACGAACGCCATTTGTAGCTGCCTCAAAAGTCGACCAGTCTACAAATGGATAATACTTTGAGAAATTATATATTTCTTAATGTTTCGGAAGGCAGAGTGGATTTAGATATAACTGCAGCGTGGTTAGGGTCAGAGTAGCATTAAAGAATAAAAATTAAATCCTTTCTGAACTTCATATCTGTGGCAGCCAGTATGGGCTGCAGCAGGTTTGCGAAATGCCTTTAGAACATTTAAATAAAACGATAACGAAGTATTCCTTTGTGCATGAAATAATCGTTTAACTACTATGATCGAATACATATTTAGCTTCAAAATAACTAACCGAATAACTGACTGCTATTGTATGATAATCTCTGCTAGACAAAAACCTTAGTTACTATTATTGTTATTATGCCAAACAAGAGAAGTCTTTTTTCCCCAAATCGCATCTTATGCAGATCACAGCAAGACAAGTTTGCGTTTACAGTCAGCAGACGACAGTAAGAAAATTATGTTTGAAATTTCTACACCAATTCTACAAAGTTTGCATCGATTGCATACATCTTTCTGCTACAAGCACAAAAGCCTTAATGAAAGGGTTTGCGTTCTAATAGGTTTCAGCTCAACATACTAAAGAACAAAATAGCGATAAGTACTCATACCCGTATCTTGGACCGAAACTCAGCCCTCCTTGTCCCCAGTTTATAGATCCGTCGTAATTCGGTCTACTATTAAGTTGTATATATCGATCGTCATGGTCACATAGAAATTCATTAAATCTGGATAGATCGGGGCGACTCCCTTGATTTGGTTGTCGAGGTAATCGGAACGGTAATGGCTGTTGTAATCGCGGCGATTGAATCAGGCGCACTTTTCCTTTTCCTTTATTTTTGACGGCAGGCTTCTGATTCTCAACCTGAAGATATTATGCATCCGTACAAAAATATGTTTCACTTAAATTGAACGTAAATGTCCACTTATTATTTTTTAGTATTATAGAGTTCATAAATTTAAGAGTTTTCTCCTAGGCCTAGCTAAGTTAGGCCCTTACTCTGGACCAAAATGCATTGCAGCCTCTGGCAAGGTAAGCACGGCCTTGTAACCACCTGCCCTCTACATGCGTTTTTTTAGTATGACATTTATGGCATTTTTGTTCTTTCAGGAGCCACTTTATAAATGAAGACAAGGCACCTTATTACATGAACTACTATTAATGTTGTTGGTCTGCTCAACGTAGACATACGTGCAATAGTTTACCTAGGAAATACCTTTTCAATATGCCTTTTAAATAGAGAATTTGTGATGCTCACCAGATTTGCAATATGGCTTGATTTTTCAGATTTACAGCTTACATAACGCGTATTTTTCACTGTTCGGATTGTGCAGCCTACTTCTTGTTCGAGAAAATCCTGAAGAGACTGGTATTTGTAGTCTTGGAAGGGTATAGGCTTACCTTTCCACTTTTTAAACTCGCCCTGAAGATCCTGTAGATCGATAATTAGTAATTTAGTAGGTCCGTCGCAGATTCGATAACAACAAGGAACGTCTCTACTACAATGGTGGTAACGAATAAAGAGACTAGTCCATATGATTTCACTGATGTTCCACAGCAGCAGAAACTTTATCTGATATAGAAAACGTTGGGTTGGTCTTTTTAGGAGCGGCTCCTGAAACTGAGAGCACATTTCCTTAGTATCTAAAGACTGTTTAACAAAACAAAGTCTTAGATACTGCAATGCTAAAAGAATGCTGCAAACCTTGTAGCTATATCAAGCTAACACCAAACAATCTCTAACTAAACGAGTGACATCTAACAGGGCGTACACGGCTTCTGTTACAAGTGAATAGTCAATGTTTACCAGTTTCCTGCAAATATATGTACTTGCTGGTTTGCACATTTTTCGTAAGAGGTTATGCTTGCAATCTGATAGTCGCCAAAGTTGATGGTTTGTTTACATTTCGCCTGAACGTATCGCACAGGGCCTACTAATCTAAAGAAATCTATATGTAGTTGCACCCAAAGAGCTTCCGTCAATACGAACTGACTGACCGAATAGCAGTCAGTTATCTTATACTTAGTTATTTATATTATGCCAATAAGTTTAGCATTACCGTCTAATGAATACTATTTATATATGAGAGGCCATGGATGGCGGTAGGCGCTCATTATCTATCGCTCATACCTCAAGAGAGCATTCTTCGAATAAAATCCCTCGAATCGTTGAAATCAAGTCTTGAAGTACGTTCTGGTTAACTGCCATTATTCGATTATTACCACACTACCGTTCGTAATGGTCACTGTCTTCGAAACTGTTGAAGGTTCGTAAAAAAAATCACTTCAGACAACAATGATAGCAACACTTATGGTTTTGATATTCCTTTAAAATGCGCTAATGAATTTACTTGATATTTATAATGATTTTTTAGCCAAATAGCATGTAGGCAAAAAAAATGTAGTGATACAACCAAATGTCGTAAAAAACACCGACTAACCACACAGTTGTTCCAACAACCTGACGCTAAAGGCTTCTTAGTGGCGTGGTAATGTTAAAAGCTAATTGCATGTCACCATAGCAGTTGGAATCGAATATGTCTGGACCTGCTTTCCGCGCTTTACGGTTGGATCCTGAGCCGTTCGGCACCAGTTCAGACGACAGGCATAACATCAGCACGAAATAAAGTGTGTACACCTGAATTCAAGCCTAGAATAGAGCGTGCTTCTAAGGGAAGCGAGCAGACACGTTACCACCTATGCTATCATTGAAAAAAATCTTTGCTGAACATGCTGTAACTACAACAACCCAAATTTGGGTGCACGTAGCTATTTTTTGATGAAAAAGAAATACGAAAAAACACCTATATTCATATATCTGATAGAATAAAAGGTGCATCGATTTTATTCGATAGGTCTTGTAGCTGCTATCGTTTACTTTAGTAGGCTAAATCTCTAACTATCATTAGATACGAAGACCCAATGTAGCTAAAGTTGACGATTTGAAACATCGCGCCATCTGTGGACATATCATTATCTTTCAGCCGATAGCTATAGTGTGTGCATTGTCGAATTTGAGGCGGCAGCACGCGCTCTGTACACTCATCAGCCGCAGTCGATACAGAAAACATTGAGACAATTGTAAGTGAAGTGGTTTGCGTTGTGCTCAAACCTTCACAAATAAGTTTACCTGTCACCACGCAATCAAGTTTGTGTTAGTTCTGTGCGCCAAGTTTGTGCTATCGCGCTCCCACAGTTACACAAAACACAAATACTGTCCAGTCATATCGCCATAGTCCAGTTATCTGAGCTCATTCAATTTCTTTCGATAGCTAACAAAGGGATTCGTGGCAAAAATAAGATGCCCGTTTCGTCGCGGTCAGGAGACTCGCATGCCGCAGCAGCTGCGGGCGGCGATCGAGCTGATCTCGAACAGTTAGATGAGCTGAAAAAACGCATGATGAAAGACGCTGAATCGCTTCTGCTTGACAAGTTCCCTGATCGCATTGCCCAACTAAACGCACTGCTCAAATCACCAGAATTCAATCTTGATCTGTCCTCGACGCACGCGAAACTCAACATACCTCGACCTAACCCCTCGCTAGTTCGACTGCCCGCCACAGACGAGCCTGAAGCTAAACGGAGAAGGACCCTCTGCGAAGATAGTTCGATGATGAGCACCGTCGAAGGGACCAAAGTAATGACGATGACTTACGGAACCGTTGACGTGAATAAAACGGTTATGCGACTTTTGGAGGTCGTCAAGCCCCACGTTCTTCAGCAACTCGATGATTGTAATCTGTTGAAAATGTGGATCGAGTTTCTTATTCCAAAGGTTGAGGATGGCAACAACTTCGGCGTCGACATCCAGGAAGAGTGCCTCAAGGAGGTGTCCACTATCGAAAGTGAAGCAGCTACCTACGTCGATCAAGGGATGCGATACTTTATGGCACGCGGTAAGATCGTCGCAAAGGTTGCAAAGTATCCATTTGTCGAAGACCTACGCAAGACTGTCGACGAAATTGACGAAAGGCATTACTTTAGCTTACGGCTAATTGTTCAGGAACTCCGCAATAACTACGCTGGTTTGCACGATATGCTAACGAAAAATTTAGAAAAAATCAAGAAACCTCGTAGCTCGAATGCAACGGAGAGTCTCTATTGAATCTGTATATTGCTATACGTACACACACAGATCTGTTCATTCCTCGCCAGATCCACTATGCTTGTAAGACAGTGTGATCAAATGGTGTCACTGTTTACCTAGGGGAAGAGCACGCTTACAGGCCACACAGATAGACCTTACATCAACAGTAAGTGATGATTCCGTTAAGCCGCACGAATACTTCTGATTACGCCTATTTAATGGTCTTCTTTTACTAATCACTACTAAATTTCGTTACTTGTTTGCATAATCTCGTATCTAAGGCTTGGATTCGTTATATGCTGCTTGTCCGTAACTTTCTCTTACGATATTGACCAACATGAAGTATATCAGTGCGGCGAGAAACCAAAATCTTGGTACTACGAATTCGTGTACGTAGTGTTTAGGCACATGAAGCGCGTGAGAGAACACAAAGATCTGGTGTCGTGCGACTACCGTGTGCTCCAACAACGCATTTCTTTTGCAATGGAAGGCCGTGCTTCAACAAAACCGTAATTCGTAAAAGGTACGAAACGTCCTGCCTTGTTCTTAGGCGATGTACACAGAAATCAATAAAAAAAAAAAAACGTAGAAATTAATGTAGGAAGGAAAGTCTGTGGTATGTATAATGTATGAATAGAGGGTTACGGAATGGGATTGAAAAGTATGTGAATTTAGGCATGCATGCACAGCAATAGTAGCTTACGCTGTTGGCAGGGGAGATGTTTACTGGCAGTTTTCAGGATTTTCACAAAATCCTAGTCACAACTTCATAAATAAAAGGCGGCCTAAATTTTGCACTCTCTATAAGTGGTAATATTTCCAGAAAAAATCTGGATTATTTTTTTAGTAAAAATAAACAGCAAACGAAACAGACATGTAAAAAATGTGTTATATATTTAATACTATAATTACAACTCATACATACATTTATTATCGTTAATTAGTTCGTAGCGGTACGTAAAATCTTAAATATATTTGCATAAATGGTATACGAGTTTAAAAAGTGGTTGATTGAACACAACTGATCAGACCCAAACAAATGAATAAACAATTAAATTGGAAAAATTGTTTATGAGAGCGTATTGCTTAATAGTAAAGAGAGCATTATCTTAAATCATAAATATACAAACGTCATTGAATACTCATGAAGTTAACATGCTTCTTTTGAAGCTCAAAAAATGTCTGTCTCGCTGCTGCGTGAATTCTGTTAAAATTAGCGTTAGGCAGATAATGTCGACTGTAAACCTCTCAGATTGTTATATTTATTTTAAAGCTACTTCGCGCTATGCCCCCCCCCCCCCATAACCGTCTATCTGTTCAACTTTAAAGTTGAACAGATAGACGGTTATAGAAAATTATGCTGGCTAATATTGTGAAGTTTACCACTCTGATATAGGGTGGTCGGCTTAAATTGAGATTTTCTCGGAGCAGTCGCGCAGCAGTTTTATAGATGCACTCATACGAAATCGGGGTTACTAAATAAATTTGTTTTAAGGATAGCGCTTTCTCATCGGGATTAGTGATCAGCTATAATCCAATTTCCGCACACAAAACAAACCCCCATCGAGGCAATAAGCCTAAGTTGAAAGTATACCGCATCGCAAATAAGTGTGCGATTATAAAAAGACAAAAGCAGGCCTTAATACAGCTCAACAAAAGCTCGACGACAGGGAAAAACAACGTTAACTGCAGTCGTCCAAAAACACAGTCGGATAACCTTTCTATTTCGATCAGGTTGTTAGTAATAGCGTTTCATGTTATAGCTGCCGTGTCAGTACAAAAATCATACAGGTGGTTTCTGGAATCATTTAAATCTTCAAACTCAATTAATGCCGTTGCTCACGGAAGAGAAACAGCAGATTGCCTTCGATCTTTCCAAGAGGAGAAAATGCTTAATTTCGACACAAAATTTCGGAGAAACGCGAACTACTTTAGTTACGAGCTAGAGGACGTGCCTGTTGAGGGTAAAAGCACTGAGCAAGGATCCAAGAAGTCTCGACATGACAACGTCCACTCATTCACTCCATGCTATCTGGAGGGTAGTTGCGAGACAAACATTCGCGAAAAGCCTGTAACCAGCTTAGCGTTGAACTAAATCTGTAATCGAGATGGAAAGGGGTCACGTTGAATAGACATAGTCGTCAAGAATCACAATTCTAGCAGATGTAAAAAAATCGCTAAAATATCTGTTCTTATCTTTAAGTAGTTACTCGTAAGGGAAAATCCAAATTTAAGCCAACCACGCTATATATATACATATATATACGTATATATATATATACATCTGTGTACCCATCTGTAATGCGAGGAAAAGTTTGCGGCTTCAACGGCTTGCTTTTCGAATTTAGTTTGACAGTTACAAATACTGCTTCCTTTACGAGACTATCAGTCTATTAGACCCTACCATTAGAATGTCCAGTAACAACGTTCACTTTTACATGCCCTATAGGTGCCAAGACATTATCTTCAATGTTTCCTAATTCTTGGCCCACGGTAACAGAGAAATCAAATCTTGCCTGGCCAACACATGCATAGCACAGTACGGCGTTTCGTCCATATGAAGCAAGCAAAGCTTTTCATAATACAACACATATGTATAAAGCCAGTGGGCTTTGAATCCGAGTAATCTCTACAAGGCTAATAATAGGTTTTGATTATTTTTGATGAACAGATTTCGCTTGGTCACGAAAATTGCTGCTGAGAAACTTGTGTCTAACGCAACTTGTTGGCATGTTTAAAACTAATGTTCCTTAAAATTATATCGGTTCGCCGACCATCTGTGTGGTGAACAGAAGGTCAAAGGCCTATTGAACCTAGGTCTTTATTGGTTGTATTGAGATGTACAAATTCCAACAAAAGTCCTCACGGATCACAGAAGTCTGTCCGGTTAAATAAGACTAAATAAAGAATACATTATGCTTAAAAGTTCATATATCCAACTGCGCAAATCGATCAGATCAAAATATTTCATTATCGCCTTTTCGCGCATACGACTATTTATGGTGTATTCGGTTCAATATTTGGCAAAACAGCATCGTTCATCAAAAATACAGGAAGCTATATCATGCTGACTCTGTGGCTTCAAAAGTCCATCTTGTTTCAGGCAGTAAATATCGTTCGAACAATGTGTCTTGTCGAATTTTTAGTTTTATGTTTGCCTATGTATATATTACTCGGCAATGAGTATCTTATGATGATACGTGCTATAAGATACTATTTCGATTAAGTTCTTTTGACGGTTAGCAGACATCTTCAATGTGAGTGTTTTCGACAGTCCGCTTGTTGCTGGCAGCAGCCATATAGCCGGGGCAGTTGTGTCTGGTTCGCATGAGCCTCTTCAAGCACATTACGATTATAATTCGTTTGTCAACAGATGAATTCAGGCGCTTCTAATACGATTGAGATGTATAGCGGCTTAGACCCCCCCCCCCCCGCGAATTTCTATTTTCAATCATATCAAAGCGAAACCGAGTCTGTTGTCATCATTACCAGTAAGAACCACTCCAGGTTCAACTTAAAAACAGTTAGCTACGATACAAGGATAATGGATTTTTGCGCACAAGTTTCTAAGTCCGCTTCGATTCATATTGAACAAATTGCACTTTTTAATGAAAGGTAAATAAAAGAGTTAATTAGGTTTTCTCTTTGTTCTGGGACTGCTAGTAAACCTGAGCTGTATTTTAAACTGATTTTGCGAAGCTCGCCTTCGTAACTTCAGTGGTATCAACACGGGAATTGTCTTTGATTCTTTTACACCAAGAACCCTAGACTAGCCCACATGCGCTTTGTTCCTAGCCAGTTTTTCCTTTTGATTCCCTTAATATGCCATTTGATTGTGTAATTCTCTGCAGTTTCCAGCTTAAATGGCTAACATCATTTTCCACAGGGTCCCGTTCATCCAAAACTGTGCTAAAAATTACAATGTGACTCAGAGCTAGATTTTTGGGCTGTAGCCTTAACCACTTTCAGGGTCGGCGTTTGAGAGTCGAAAAAAGCTGTGGATCCCTTTGGCCATTTTGCTCCGTTTCTAACAGCATCAGAGAAGCCTATTTCAGAAGACAGATTTCTCTAATCTCTAAGCTATTTCGGTACTACTAGGTTAAACAGATGTGCTAGAATTATTTGGCAGCAGTATTTACTTTGGCATCTGTTAGCGTCTGTCAGACGATGGCAAACGGTGACCTATCTAATGGTCGTAACAAAAAACTGGATGGTTGTGCGTCTCAATACGTTACGAGCACACTGCACAGGTTTACAATTTACATGGAAACTTTTATCGAAAGGTTTATTCCGGTAACAGCCGTTGGGGTTACAGCGTGGGACGACTTTCTACAATATATTTCAAGAGCTTTAAATGCCGATTGTATCCCCAAAAATTGCATATCCTTACACCCGAATAGACGGACAGCGGAAGGAGCTTTGGCTATACACATAGGTACCGGAGTTGACTTCCACGATTTGATTTGTTTTCACATCGCTGAGAGCTTTGTGCCCATTAGACGTGTGTGTGTGTGTGTGGGTGTGTTTTTTTATGGACTGAAAATGACACTTTTTCAAGAAATAGCTTCGCAAGGAAACTAACTGAATGGAAACCCTGAAGAGTAATCCGTACCTAGGGGGAGCGCTTTCAGAGTAGACACAATTCTGCTTTCGCCGTTCTCGGCAACAGTTAAATATTGCTCGAAAATACTGAGAATGTGACGTATCGGCTTGATATAGACGCCCAATGATCATAACTATCCTAGTACTCATAGTCGCTTCCTTATTGTAACAAAAAAGTGTAAACACTGATGTAAACTCCAATTAAAAATCGATGTTATTCTTTAACAATTATTATTATTATCATCGTCTAGAATGTAGTTCAGAGACTGAATAGAATACATTATAGAAAAATTGATTAAACTTTAGATGAATGTCAAAATTAACATTTTTTGACTGTCTTTTTGAATGAACTAACTAACTACTCTGACGAGTTTTTGGATATATTAATGGTCCGTACTGTTCATCGGATCACAACAGAGACTGTTTACTCGGCTATCCTTTAATCGAAGGGTGATATTAATTTCTAAAACTCCACCGCTACAGGATAGATCATCAGAAGTGGTTCCCATCGGTTATCATTTCAAAGCCTATTTTCCAATATATATCTAAAAGAACAGTGATAGCAACAGATTCATTAACGTACCTAGAGGTCATCGAAAATATGTTTATAGACTTTTCTCAGTCTAGATATGCGTTCGGATGTGAATCTCCACTAGCGGAAATCACCAATACACTATCATGAAAATGCGTTCGTATCTAGAACAGCCTTCATGTCCGCTAATTGTAAATACACCCCAGTACCCGTGGAAACTCCAAATAGGGTTCCGTGTACGTACATATGATTTGTACTAACCAAAGTTGAACAACTTCCCAAACGGGCTCAGGTACAAATTGCACAAGACCATTGAATATTCAATTCACCTCATACAATACTATAAAAACAAGGGTTAACATAGATATTAATGGTCATAGTAATTACCGAGCTTAGATGCAGGCTGATTTAATATGCTTTTAGCATTTTTTTTAGTCTATATTTAGAAGAACAACGTACCTCAGACCTAAAGCAAAGCAACGCTCTCCGTTCCGTTTGGCTAAAGACCACACGACTGTCCTGCGTAGAGAAGTATCGCTAAGAACAGGTATTATTTGAACATGTTCATTAAGCTTTTCGTCAATTGGCAGTCATTTTTTTACTTCAAATTTTATTTAACGGGCAACAAAAAAAAGGCTCCTTTATTTTTAGCCAAGTAAAGCCATTGAACGTCCATGCGTGAGTAGCGCACCAGCATCAACGAGCATTGTTGTTAATGCGCCAACTATACGCAACTTCTACTGCACTTATTGTGTTGCCATTCTATATACGTTAC